TCTCCAAATTTCATTAATTCTTCACCAAATTTCATCAATTCCGTTCCACACTTCACAGATTCCGTCTCAAATTTCACTAAACCCTTTTATAATTCTATACACAGCAGAACACAATCCCTCTTTTACGAATTTCACAAAATTTCATTAATTTTAATGTCTTTAACTTTCTTTAAAATATATTTTTAAATACATTAAAAAATAATTTAATATAAAAAATTAGCATCTAAATCCGCAAAGAAAATAAATAAATGACCAGTTTTAAACGCATCATAGTCCGAAAAAAACGCAAAAAAATATAAAAATACAATTACTTTTATTAAAAAAAATTAAAAAAAGACATTCGAGACGAGTGTAAAATTTTAATTATAAATAAATTTACCATAAAAATCTAATTAATTTTTCACAACTTGTAAATTTTACATAAGCGAATTTAACTAACAACCACCGAAAAAAAAAAATTAAATATCGTTATTATTTAGTTAAAAAATATATTTTTACGCAAGTTTAAACGTTATTTTATATAAAAATTTATATAAAAAAAATATACTTTATTATATATGAGCGAATAAATATTTTTGAACTTGTTTACATCAAGAGGAAACGTGCCTACATATACATATTTAGACACGTTCTTCCTCATTGTTTATCTATTATATTATATAAAACATATATATATATATATATATATATATAATACAGTAAACTTTTTAAATATTCATATAGAAATTATATAAATAAGCATTATTAAATATTTAAAACAGTGGAAAACAGTGAAAAAGGTGTGTTTATATGAATACATATGTATATATTGTCACGTTCCTCATTCGCTTTTATACATTATTTTACATGAAAAAATATATATGTGAGAAGAAAATATTATTAAATATTCATTGAAAAACAAGAATATTTAATAATATTTTATATAAAACAGTGCGAAAGAGTGAGGAAGAACGTATCTACTTACACACGTCGACACGTTCCTTCCTCATTGTTTCTACACTATTTTATACTTTTTCATGTGTATAAAACTAAAAATAATCATTACGTATTCAACCGAAACGGGAATATTTAATAATATTTACCTTAAGGCCTTCTAGGGCCCGTAAACATAGAAGATTGGGGAGGGGTCTCATTACACACAATGTTTAATTGTGGTTATAGAATTATTTGTAAATTATATACAACTGCAACGATAAAATTGAGGCACATAAAAAGGACCCTAAGTACGTGCCTAGTGAACTCAGTTTACATAAAACAGTAAGAAACAGTGAAGAAGAACTGCATGTATACATAGAGACACATTCCTCCTCATTGCTTCTACACTGTTTTATATACAAAAAAAAAATAATAATAATATAAAACAGAAATATTATTAGATATTCCTTTTCTGGATGAATATCTAATAATGTTTTTCCGCAAAGGGATTTTTTTAAAGTTGATTATTGATCGCAGCTGTTACTGTTCTATGCAGTAACCACGATACGAGTTTGTAAAGTAACTGAAAATTATATGAAAAGTGATTTAGTTTTGGAGAGATGTTTATGAAACGGATCAAGTTTTAAATTGGCTTAAAATCTTGAACAGAATGAAAGGAAATATAAGTTTGCCTTTCCAATCGATCAAAACAGGATTAAAATTTTGATTAGATATTAAATGGATTTAAACATACTGAAATCAAAGTGGATTTAAGATTTAAAAAAGAAAAAAGCATTTATTTTACGTTCTTTTAAATATTTCTATAATGATATTACATATATGTATATACGAGTCAAACCTGTAAACGACGGACACTGACGAAAACATTTTTAAAAAATGGCCGTTGTTTACAGGTTATTTTGCACGAATTTTAAGAAAAATGGTTGCCATTTAGAGGTGAAGGTTCGACTATGTACATAAATGTGATTTATGCTTTTAAATATAAGAGAATTTTATTGAATTTTTCCATTTTTGCTACGAAATATTTAAAATTCCGTTTTCAATTTCTTTAACGTTCAAAGAATTCAAAAATCAAATATTTAAAACATATTACATAATTCTTTTAATATTTTTAGCGCTTTTAAAAAGGTTTATACGACACTGTGGCCATTTTCAAGTGTCCAAAACAAAATACAAATACAACATAAACATTGTAACAAATTGTAAATGCTAATAACGATTAAAATCGTCATTAAGTCCGACCCTACTGGAGATAAGTACAACCCCCATTATCTCCCCATTCCGTCGATCTTTAACCACCAAAATTTAACAGCATCCATCCCTCTGATATAGAAACCACCCTGCAAAATTTCAGAAATATTCGTCAAATAATACAGGAGTTATTAAGCTTCAAACTGGGTGAACAAAATCGTGCCCCCCCTCCGCACATCCATACGTATAGAAAAAACCCCGAAATTTTCAAAGAAAACATCAATTTTTTTAAAGCATTCATTTCTTCTAAAATATTTAATTTTTTAGAAGAAAAAATAAATGGAAAAAAATATAATAATAATAATTTTTTGAAGCAGATAACGATCGTTTATATCCGCTTTAATTTAAAAAAAAATTAAATATATAATTCTAAAAACATTTAAAAAAAGATACATAAATTCAACAATAAATATCTAATTAACCCATTTATTAATAATGTATAAAATTTATTTATTTATTAAAGTTATTAAAGCTTTAAAGATAAAAATGAGGAAGGAGAAAGCGAGAGAAAGAGAGGAGGAGGAGGGGAGGGAACGAGAAGGCTTTTCAATTAACCACTTCAAAAATCACTAGCAACGAACGAATCGAGATGANGCCGTTATTTTAAATATTTCTATAATGATATTACATATATGTATATACGAGTCAAACCTGTAAACGACGGACACTGACGAAAACATTTTTAAAAAATGGCCGTTGTTTACAGGTTATTTTGCACGAATTTTAAGAAAAATGGTTGCCATTTAGAGGTGAAGGTAAGACTATGTACATAAATGTGATTTATGCTTTTAAATATAAGAGAATTTTATTGAATTTTTCCATTTTTGCTACGAAATATTTAAAATTCCGTTTTCAATTTCTTTAACGTTCAAAGAATTCAAAAATCAAATATTTAAAACATATTACATAATTCTTTTAATATTTTTAGCGCTTTTAAAAAGGTTTATACGACACTGTGGCCATTTTCAAGTGTCCAAAACAAAATACAAATACAACATAAACATTGTAACAAATTGTAAATGCTAATAACGATTAAAATCGTCATTAAGTCCGACCCTACTGGAGATAAGTACAACCCCCATTATCTCCCCATTCCGTCGATCTTTAACCACCAAAATTTAACAGCATCCATCCCTCTGATATAGAAACCACCCTGCAAAATTTCAGAAATATTCGTCAAATAATACAGGAGTTATTAAGCTTCAAACTGGGTGAACAAAATCGTGCCCCCCCCTCCGCACATCCATACGTATAGAAAAAACCCCGAAATTTTCAAAGAAAACATCAATTTTTTTAAAGCATTCATTTCTTCTAAAATATTTAATTTTTTAGAAGAAAAAATAAATGGAAAAAAATATAATAATAATAATTTTTTGAAGCAGATAACGATCGTTTATATCCGCTTTAATTTAAAAAAAAATTAAATATATAATTCTAAAAACATTTAAAAAAAGATACATAAATTCAACAATAAATATCTAATTAACCCATTTATTAATAATGTATAAAATTTATTTATTTATTAAAGTTATTAAAGCTTTAAAGATAAAAATGAGGAAGGAGAAAGCGAGAGAAAGAGAGGAGGAGGAGGGGAGGGAAAGAGAAGGCTTTTCAATTAACCACTTCAAAAATCACTAGCAACGAACGAATCGAGATGAACATTAAAACATTTTCTTGCAGCTTTCTTAATCATATGCTCCTTTAAAAGCCTAAATTACATTTAATTGTTGGCAAGTGCGGCTGAATAACATTAAGCTTGATCCCCAGCTATTTTGCTTTAATGGGCTATGCGGTTTGTCAACTCGACAAGGGAATTGAATAAATGGACTAGTCTAGTACGCGTTAATCCAATTTGGATTGTTACTACAACCCCCCTCGTTTAAAAAAAGAAAAAAAAAATACGAGCGATAAAAAGAAAACAAAATCAAATTTCCTAGAAAAATACTTGAGATTAAGTTTTTACTCGATTAAATCAACGATAATTTTCGTACTTAGTTGGATGTTCATTTGTTAATTTTGTTTTCTTTCCTCTATTCTATCTTTCTGAGTAAATGGAATTGATGTTAAGTCGTTTCACACGATGCGATTTTCTTCTTTCAACTTGCGACGTTCGATAATTATCGAATAGAAATTGATGATAACGAATTTTTGTCCATTTCGACAGTCGATAACTTCTCGAATACGTTACAGACGGATCATGTGACTTCGTGTAATCGATTCTAATTGGCTAATTTAAATTTTCATTGATTAAATTTAAATTTTTTAACCTAGCAGAGTAAGTTAAACCCGACTAAAAGTTTTTGAATTTAAAAGTAACTTAAATTTTTAATATAAAAACCGTATTTTATNTATATATATATATATATATTATATATAATTTAATTAATCTATATTATTTTTATTCTTAATTGAAATATTTTCTGCATTATTATTTCACAATCGGGTGACGGTTTCATTGATTTATTAATGCTGACGTATCCATTGACGGATGAGTTGAAATTTAATTTTTGAGATATTTTCCATTTGTTTAATATGAAATTTTCGATCTTAAACAATTATTTATAAATTTAATTTCTATTAAAAATGAATTTCAGAATTTTCATAAATATATAGAAATTATGATTCTTCTTATAAATTGTTTTATTGGAAATTTTATTTAAATATAATTAAAATTTTCCTATAAATATAATGCTTAAACCATATTTTCGTATGGCATAATTAGTTTTTAAGCGTGTTTAAATAAGGCAGTAACGAATTTCAGTTTGAAATGAATTTTTTTTTTAGAATTTCATATATGAAAAATTTTGACTTACCTTGATTATCAATGCTGAAAATACCAATTCCATCACCATCCCGTATAGAATAGGTAATTTGGCTATCTATCCCCGGGCCATCGTCGTCGTGTGCAGACACTCTCATTACAAAAGTTCCTTCAGGTTGATTCTCTCTTACCATGCCTAATGCCACAAAATCAGAAAATTTGGGCGCGTGAAGATTTTCATTCACGTCTTCAACCTCGATCAACAGAGAAGTAACACTAAAAAGCACGGGTTCACCATTATCTTCTGCCCTAACTGTGATATTATAGAGTTGTTTGGATTCAAAATCCAATGGTCGAGCCAATCTGACGACACCCATTTCGGAATCGATTTTGAAATCATCCATTTCTCCAGATATTTCGTAATGAATAATTCCACCTTTTCCAGCATCGGGATCTTCAGCTGATAAAATCATAACAACGGAACCAACGGGAAGATCTTCGCGCACTTTCGTCCAAAATTGATTTTGACCAAAAAATGGAGGATTATCATTAATATCTAAGATGCGGATATTGATTATAGCTGTTGAAGAAAGTGGTTGAATGGGCGAAGAATCGGTTACACGTACTTTCAATTTATAAAAATCTGTCCTCTCTCTATCCAGTGCTGCATTTACTGTTAATACACCGCTAATGGGATCAATATGGAAGTCTGATGTGTCCGTATCCAGTTTGAAGGTAAATTCAGCATTCTTGCCAGTATCATCATCAGTAGCCCTCAATTTAACGACACTCGTTCCGTTCTCCACGTTTTCGGATATCACAAAACTGTAGTCGTCCTTTTCAAATTTTGGAGGATTATCATTGACATCAAGCAAACTCACTACTAAAGTTCTTGAAGAATGTTTCTGCGGTTGCCCCAAATCGAAAGCTGTGATGTTCAACACATATTTTGAAGTTCTTTCTCTGTCTAGAGGACGTAACACTCGAAGATGGCCGTCGTGCATATCCATTTTGAAACAACTATCTTCGTTGCCACTAGAAATCACATAGACGACACGCCCATTAAAACCTCGATCTCTGTCGTGAGCCTGTAGAGTTATGAGACGAGATTTCACTGGCACGCTTTCGTTGACGGAGATTTTTGGGGGAACGAACGATAAGAACTCTGGAGAGTAACGATTTTCAGCAAATCGCGTTGGTGTAGGAGCTGTTACGTCTTCTACACCACCGCGATTGTTCAGTTCTCCTAATCGTATCTGTTCCTTTAATTTTTCGGTTATACCAGCATCTTTACACTCCACCAAAGCGGCTCTATCCAGGGAATTTTTGCTTCCACTTATTATCGTAATGGGAATGGTCATGAGATCTGCAAAATGTTTTCCATCCGTAGCAGATAGATTTAACACTTTCTCACGCAGCTGCCTCTGTCTCAAATCGCACACGAGACTAATAACACCCGACATTGAATCCAACCTGAAGCATGGATCATCGTTAGAAGGCAACNTCATTAAAACATGCTTCAATGAATATTATATAATATATATATTTTTTTCTTTTATGTTATTATATTTAAGCATTTAATGAGGAAAGATAAAGGGAGAATATTATATTCTTTCATGAATATCAAAATGAAATTCAATCAAGAAAATAGCTAGTTAATTATTTATAGTTAAGAATGTTTAATGAAGGCATTCAATTACATGAAATTAAATATTTGCTTTATACTAATTGGTTAAAGCTTTTCATGAAACAATCAAATAACCCAAGAAGTTTTCAGTATAAAAATATATTGATTAATAACTATACTGTACTTTAGGTGAGGTTCTATGAGAGATGTCACTTTTCTGTCATTGTGGCATTAATTGAATTTAATTAAGTTAATTAAAAATTATTTCCCTGAAACTCACCATCAAATTTTGATTAAAATTAAGAAAATTTTTATCACCTTTACATATCAGTATAGCCTATATATATATACTTTAGTTTAGATTTAAATGAGAAAATAAAAATCCAGTTACAGGAAGGAAGTTTCTCACGCAGCTGCCTCTGTCTCAAATCGCACACGAGACTAATAACACCCGACATTGAATCCAACCTGAAGCATGGATCATCGTTAGAAGGCAACATTCGATAAGTCACAATGCTGCCAGCATCAAAATCGATAGCGGATAAAGTAAATACTTCAGTCCCAACGGGGGCTTTGCTATTTACGTAACCTTTACATTCCACCTTCTCAAACAACGGTCTGTGATCATTAATATCCTTCAAGCGAACCTTCAGAGACATTTCTTCTTGCCTGCTGAAAGGTTTACCCCAATCAGACACGCGTATTTTTAATAGGTATTCCCTTTTCATGGTTTCAAAATCGAGAATTTCAGTAGTACGCACCTCTCCACTAAATGGGTGTATAGAAAATGGTACAGGGCTTAAATTAGCTAAACTGTAAGAAACAAAACCGTTCTCTCCTAAATCAGGATCAACCGCTTTCGCTACATAAACTATGGTTCCTATGGGTCTATTTTCGTCGAAGTAAACAGTTTCATTGGTAGAATTAAAGGAAGGATTGTTATCGTTAGCGTCCAAGATCTGAATGTTAACTATCGTGGTTCCTTTACGTCGTAATCCTCGTACACCACGGTCTACAGCACTAACCGTTAATGAATAATAGGCTTTACTTTCTCTGTCTAATTGTTTAGAAGTGGTCATTAATCCGGTTCGAGCATTGATGCTGAAAGCTGCTTCCTCGTTTCCGTTTTCGATGTTGTAAATAATATCCGCATCTTGCCGGTTGGATAAGTTTGCTTTCACTAAAACTATTGGAGTATTTATCGGTGCCACTTCTTCTACCTCTACCTACAAAAGTTATTTCATTATTTTCTTTCATTATATCTAATTTTATAAATAAATACTTTTTCTATAAAGAAAAAAAACAAAAACAAAATGGCGAATCTCTTCACAGTTTTTAACGTGCTTTATTAATCATTTTCGCTGTTTATTTTAAAAATAAAATAAAATATTTTAGTTTATATTTATCATATATTTATCACTTGATGATGACGGTTATTATATGCATAAATAAATTTAATTATTTACATCCGATAAAGTCCACCTCCCAACNTGATACAGATTTACACATGCTTAAATAAGAGTTTTTCTATCATTTTAGAGTAAATAAAGGCATATTTTCACGTGTATCGTTATTTGGTAGAAGGGAAAGACTTGTTATATGTTACAACTACAGGTCAAATATACAAGTTAAGTAATGTTTAAGTGCCAGCAGTAATTAGAGGAGAGATCAAGGCTGGATCTAGTTAATGTTATATTGTAATTAAAATAAAATATTTTATGTAAAAATTAATAAACTTACCTCATAGTCACTTTGCTCAAAAACAGGAGGTTTCTCTTTATAATCAGACAATCGAACTTTAATATTTTGTGTTATGGATTTCGGAGGGGAACCACGATCAGTCGCTCTCAACGTCAATGAAAATTCTTGTTGAGAATCCAGATTTCTTTCTGCAATAATATTATATTCGTAAGGTTTACTTCCATCACTTATCCTGAAATGATTATCAGGATCTCCGTCGATGATCTCTAGTTTATCAATCTGTCCGTGAACACCACGATCCTTATCGATAACCTTGACAATTGCATAAATGTCTGCATTGCTATGACCTAAAATACTAGGAAAATGCCTAACGAGTATCTCAGGACTGTAAACGTTCACTGGAAGTACTTTAATTTTCACAGTTGCCGAACTAGCTTTGATGTCACCAGCTCGAAATTTGGGTGCTCGATCTTGAGCCAGAACTGTTAAGACGTGAGAAGATTCCTTTTGATAATCGAGAGGTCTAGTTAAGGTTCTAACTTATATCAATGTTTATAGTAATTTTTAGTGATAATAAAAGTAGAAAATTGTGCATAAAGTTTAAAATGTAGGCAGTTCATTGTTAAATTTAGCATAAAATTAGCATTAAAATTCTTTAAACAATTGTTTTAATTTTAAACCGTTTTAAAACCCATTTTATTTAAAATTTAAACCGGTATTTAACTGATTTTTTTTTATTTTTGAAATTTTAAACCGTTTAGAAACGTTAAAATCGATTAATTTACATAAAAATTCTTGTATCTTTCAAATCGTTCATCCGATAAATTACGCAAAGAACCGCCTATATTCATTTTTATCATTTTTCCATTAATTCTAACGTCGTTTAAAATTATTTTTTGTAAAAATGCTTCGAATCCATATAAAAATAACAATTTTACTATATAAAAAAAACATTAACTTATATATATATATATATATATAGAAAAATTGAGATGATTTCTCTCTCATGTTCATATTCTATAGATTATATATTAACCCTTAGAATAGGAACACATTCTATGGGTTAATATATAACCCATAGAATATGAAAACGAGAATGAGCTTCCTTGTTCCTTTTATCTAAATTAGACAGACGCTACGTTTGTATGCGCTTTCCACCTTTATAAACATATTTCACCATTTCGGGGGGTATGACCAGACTTTTGACTGTTCGTCTCTTCGGGATTCTTCGCTTCCGGGGGATCTCGACGCCGCCTTCGTCCGGGCCCTTGGCACTTTCGTCTTTCGTAGTCGCTCCTTCGAGTTGGCTATGCTGCAGGCACAGTCTGCGTCCACGGTGCTTTCGAAATTGCTCGTGGGATTTGTTCGCCCAGGCCCGCCGTAAGCGGGCGTGCAAGGCGTGCACCGCACGCGGGCGGCACGTCCAGGGGGCGGCAAAGAGCCTTTCTGGCAAGCTCAGCGTAGGTAGTCGTAGTTAAACAGGGGGCGGCATAATCGGTATTGCACACGGGCGTTCAAACAGCTGGCGGTGCCCCTGTCTCCGCAGATATAACAAACAGAGAAATAAATAACACAAAATAAATTGTAGCTATGCATTGATTCCGCGCGACACGTCCGAGCATTTAAGCCGAACAATGGTGTGAAGAAAGTGAGTGATCAAGAGCTGCGTGGCGCTCAAACAAAAGACGAATCGACGAGATTTGAAAATCGCGTAAGTACTGTACTGTATTACTGTATTTGAAAAAAAATGTTTTTTTTTGTATATATTTCTTTATTTATATATTTGTTGTTTATTTTTATTTGAAAGGAATGTTGTTTTATTATTTATATGTTGTTTATTTATAATATTTAAAAAATTTGTCATTTATTTGTTTATTGTACAAGTCGACCCCCCCTATAACACTGTTGATTATTCTGTTTTATATAAATTCCATGTTGTACAAGTCTCTTAGATTTTACAAATACATGAGCC